TAACAGAAAAATTGGAGCATAAGTTTTCGTGGGTGAATCCCCACTTCGTCAGACGCTAGATCTTCACCCACGAAAGCTTATGCTCCAATACTTCTGTTAGTCTTAAAAGGTGCCACAGGACCCTCTGTTGCTTTTTACAGATTCAGACTAACATGGCTACCCCTCTGTTACTTAAAACCTAAAATATATTCCAAAAAAATGAAAAATTCTGTTTCAACGTTTTCTAAACAAAAGGTTTCAAATTTTTTAGTTCCAAATAAAATATTTTTTTAAATTCAAAAACATTTTAAATAGTAAAAACCAAAACAGAATGTTTTGATTGAGTCAAAAGACAAAGCATTTAATTCAACTGAAATTAATTTTTTGACTTTTCAATTTGCTAGAAGTTTTGAAATATTTTGTTTTCAGTTCAACTTGAAAAATTTTTCTTCAATTTTTCTGAAGTGAAAAATCCGTTGTTTCACAGCTTTACTGGCAAAACTGTTCCTATTGTTCTCCTGGGCCCTTCTTGAACAGAGATTTGTGATCAGTTACATTCTGATTTTGTAAGAATTAAAAAAAGAGAGAAAAGCGGTAGGTCATAATGACAGGGTTGGCATAAAACTGTGGATTTTCTAGGCCAGAACAAATAAGGTTATGATTTAACACTTGTTCTTTGCATTACCAATAACTGAAACATATCTATAGCTCCGATAGCTAGGAGCGTTTTGCACCTCCTGTAGAAGGAGTTGCTCGTGAGAGGGGTCCCTGAAGAGGGACGAGGAGGGAAGGTGGTGGAGGGGGAGAAAAACTGAAGGCGGTATCCACTTTCCACCGTACGTAGGACCCAGCGGTCTGACGTTATACGGGACCACGCAGGGAGGAAATAGGAGAGGCAGTTGTTGAAAGGCGGGGAAGGATCCTGGAAGGAGACTGGTGCTCCACCCTCGGGCGCACCTTCAAAAATTTTGTTTGGACCCTGCCGATGGTTTGGGGGGGCCCTGGTTCTGGCCCGTCTGAGGACCAGACTGTCTCTGCCTACCACCCTGGCCGCGTCTTCTAGAGAAGTTCTGTCTTGGCCAGGGATTAGGGTAGATGCGCTGTGGTTGGGGTTGGAAGGGCCTACGTTGCGTCACCGGGGTATGCATGCCCAGTGAACGCATGATGGCCCCGTTGTCCTTCAGACTCTGAAGTCTGGAGTCAGTCTTATCTGAAAACAGACCATGGCCATCCAAGGGTAGGTCCTGAATAGTCTGCTGGAGTTCTGGTGGGAGACCGGAGACCTGTAGCCACGAGATGCGGCGCATAGCTACGCCTGAGGCTAGAGTCCTAGCCGCCGAGTCTGCCGCATCTATTGAAGCTTGCAAAGATGTTCTGGCTACCTTCTTGCCCTCCCCTAGTAGGGCCCCGAACTCCTTCCTGGACTCCTGAGGAATAAACTCTTTGAATTTTTGCATTGAGTTCCAAGTATTATAATTGTAGCGGCTCAAGAGGGCCTGCTGGTTAGCCACTCTGAGCTGCAAGCCGCCAGTAGAGTAAATTTTGCGCCCAAATAAATCTAGGCGTCTAGTGTCCTTGGATTTAGGAGCAGGAGCTTGTTGGCCGTGTCTTTCTCTCTTGTTAACAGACTGTACAATGAGGGAGCACAGCTGGGGGTGAATATACAATTATTCGTAGTCCTTGGAGGGGACCAAATACTTCCTCTCCACCCCTTTGGCAGTAGGAGGAATAGAGGTTGGATATTGCCAGATCGTAGTGGCATTAGCCTGGATAGTCCGGATAAAGGGCAAGGCTATTCTGGTCGTGGTGTCGGCAGACAGAATGTCCACTACAGGATCCTCGACCTCCACCACCTCCTCCACCTGGAGGCTCATGTTTTGTGCCTCCCTGTGGAGCAACTCCTGGTGGGCACAGAGGTCTATAGCTGGGGGGTCAGAGGAGGACGTACCCACCACCGCCTCGTTGGGTGAAAACGAAGAGGATACTCCTGAGACTAACAAGTCCTGGGGAAGGTCTTGCTGGGGAGGGTCCAGCAACCGTAGGTCCACCATGCTAATGGCATGGGCCTGAAATGAGGGCAGAGCTGTCGCCTACGAAACACCCAGGGCAGGGCGACTCACAGTGGCCTCCAGTACCAGGGGCTCCAAGTGGGCAGAGCGAGAAGCCCCCAAGGGGACACCTTGGGCCTGATGGTATGCCCAAGGGGTCCAAAAGGACCATTGCGGAGGTCCCTGACCAGGATCCTGTCCATCATCGTGCCATTGGCTAGCACCATCCGCATCTTGGTCCTGGACATGGTAGCCACTTTCTGCCTGGGACGACCTCGAGGTGGGACGGGACGGCCAAGGTGGAGCCGAGCGCATATGCTGGGTCGCCTTGTTGTGTGGTACCGCACCACGGAGATGGAGATCGGTGCCATGGTCTCGAGCGGTACCACGATCCTGAGCGGGACCGGCGGTCATATCGGTGCCAGGAGGCAGATCTGGACCTCGACGAAGATCTATGGGCGGAATGGTGCCGGGATCGACTCTGAGTAGATCGGCTCTCAGACCGGCGTCGGCATCGGTTCCAGGAGCTGGACCAGTACTGACCCTACTGGGAAGAAGATCTTCGCGAGGCGGAGCAGCACCGCGAGCGTGACCGGCGCCGAGATGGTGATCTGCGATGGAGGACGCAGCATGGAGGGCTTTCCTTTTGAGGGAACAGCCCGTACCGGTGGTACCAAAGGTTGCGACGGTCTTGGCTCGGTGAGCACAATCAGGTCGCATGCCGTGGAGAAAGTCTCCGGAGTGGACGGCAGCCCAAGCTCGACCACGGTACGCACCAGGGAGCTTAAGTGCACCGGACTCAACGGCCCTTGTGGCGCAGGAGTCAACGGTACCGGGGTTGGTGCCTTTGCGGGACAGTCCAACACGGGACGTGGCTCCAAGGGAGACACAGGCGGTGCCAGCAACTGCAAGGGAACAGCAGGTTGTTTATGCTGCTTCCTCGGTCCTGGAGACAGCGAGCAGCACCACGCTGGTAGAGGTGCCAGAGACATCCGGTGCCAGGAGTCTTTGTCGGTGTCCGGACGTGGTGCTGACCCTTTTGGATTAAAAGAGAGCCTCCAGTGCTGCAGGCGTGCTTCGAACTGATAAAGTCGGCACTGGGTCTCGGCACGGAGCCAAGGACATCAGGATAAGTGCCGCTTCCATAAGGAGCTGCTTCAAGCGAAAGTCCCACTCCTTTTTAGTCCAAGGCTTGAATGCCTTACAAATGCTGCACTTATCGGATTGATGAGATTCCCCCAGGCACTTCAAGCAGGAGTCGTGGGGGTCTCCCGTAGGCATTGGTTTAAGGCAGGCCAAGCACAGTTTGAAACCCAGAGACCTAGGCATCAGCCCGGGTACCGGGAAGGAGGGAAGGGGAGAAGCCCCTTACCCCCAACTACTATTTACACGAAGAATAACTATTAACTACTACTAAAGAACTAATAACTACTTTTAAAACTATTTACAACTATAAACGAGTGCTACACTAGAAGTTAGGGAAGTGGAGTTCTGCTAAGCCACGCTCCACAGTTCCAACAACCGTCACGGGCAGTAAGAAGGAACTGAGAGAGCGCTGGGTTGGCTGGGGTATAAATCCGGCACCGTAAAGGCACCACTCCAGGGGGTGCCTCAGCTGATCCACCGAGTGTTGCTAGAGTAAAATCTTCCGACGATCGTGCATGCGGCACACGCACATCTAATTGGAATCGATATGAGCAAGCACTCGAAGAAGAAATAGCCTACCTTCTTCACAGCACCTGTTGGGCCAGGTCAGAAGACAGGGGCTACGGGGGACAGACAGCATGGGTCTGCTGGGGAGTCACAGACAGGGGGTCATAAGGGCTAGTCAGGTAGGACAGACTGGGGCAGGGGCTGAATGGGAATGGAGGTGCAGGGCTATAAAGAGGAGGGAGATGCGGGGCCACATGGGGACAGGGGGGTTGCTGCTTGGGGGTGGAGGGACACGTGGACAGGGGATGCAAGGAGACATGGGGATGCAAGGGGACATAGGGACAGTGAAAGATGTACATAACTGAATGCAAGAGGCTAGGGGTCAGCCGGGGTCTGCAGGGGGGAAGCTCCCTAACAATCCTTCCCTGCCCCGCAAAAAACCTGTTCCATACTTTTCCTACACATACCCAACAACCCTCCAAGTTCACGCCCAGGCTCCTTCCCAGCAATTACTTCCCCCTCCATTACCCCTGACTCCCCCAAGCCTTTGCACTGCTTCTGAAGGGTGCGGGAAATACAGTTCTGTACTGTAGCTTTAATGAATTATTACTCAGAGTTCTGTATTAATATGCCTAGTAAGGAATCTATTTGTCAAAAAACATTTCCTGAATCTTTTTTTGTTGTCTATATTGTTACAGACACACTTGCTGATAGGTACTTTGAAATAAATGACCAAAAATAATTGAAACTGGTGTGATTATACGGTGTGATTTTGACAAATCAAATATGCAGAATTCCGCAGTATTTTAAAATATTGTGCACAGAATTTTCACTTTTTTTGTTGCAGAATTTGTAAGTTTTCCACTGCCATTTTAAAAGTAAAATCTTAAGGCCTTGAACCTACACATTTATCACCACGCTGCTTCTACCTCAGAATCTAAACAATGGATTCATATTTATGGTAGAGGTATCTGTACTTAGTACAAAATTTCTATGGAAAAAAATAGTTTTTGAAATTCTTACCAGGAATTTTCTTGGCCCAACCAATCATGTGAACCAATTCTTTGTCTGCAAGTTTTGTCAATGACATCATCATGGAGACTTCTGTAAATGGCTTGCTGGGGCGACTCACCAGCAACACATTAGGAGGTTCAGCTTCAAGTAACGTTAAAACAAACTGCTCAGGACTGAGTGAACAAAGAAGGATTTCTTTCACTCGGGTTGTATTTTCACTATTCTTTTTAGCTTTGCCAGTGCAATGCACTTGATCTTCTGCATTACGATGACGGCGTATGATACGATACCCACAACGTTCTCTTCTTGAACCTGAGACAAAAAAAGTTACATAATTACATTATTTTTTTCTACCACGGTTTTACCTGAATCCAAAAATGGGGAAAGACAACAAGTACATTCCACACTGAATTTCAGATTTTCAAAAGCACTCAGGACTGGTTTAACTATGCTTCCATTGACCTTAGTGGAGGCTCTCTTTTAATCCAAAAGAATATAACAAAGTTAGCTGGATCAGATCTAAAATCTGTTTTAAACTCCATGGAAAGCTCCCATTGACTTTAGTGAGAGACAGATCAGGTCTTTGATTGCAAACAAAGCGGATATATACATATACAACAGAAATAAATAGTAAGAATGAGTTCTGAAAGCATGTCAATTGATCCAAAATAAATGCCTCACATGGAAATACAAGCTGGGCCTTATTAAAGGCCAGAAGTTGTTGTTTGTTGTTCACTATGTCACAGAGCAAGCTGATTTGCTCCGGCTGTGAATACTTAAGAACATCATTAATTGTAATTTGAAACATTGCTAAGAAAAAGTCTTGTTTAAAAGAGGATACTTTCACTTCTCCCAAAATTTAGCTATGGGATTTTTGAAAGCAGTCAGCCTTGGCCTAACTTTCATCCCACTTTGTTGCTGAATATATTATATAACAAAAAGGTTTTGTTATTGTCATTCTAGTTACTGCTAAATGGTTATTTGTAAAATCTAGGATTTTGCTATTTAAAAATCAGAGGCATATTTAAATAATTTATCAGAAGATGTTCTTAAACTGAAATTCTCTGGTACCATAACACTTATTTTCCTAAAATAAGTATATCTGAAGTAAGTAAATAAATAAATCAAATAGTTTAGAAGTCAAATTTTTGTTTTAGAGCCATCAAAATGTTGTCTCAGTCTCAGTATCTGTCAAACTACTGATATGTAAGAATAAGCCAGTGCTAGTATCAGATGTATTTTGGGCCATTAATGGTCAACTAACTGTGCAATACACTTTATCAAGATCACAACACATGGCAGCAGTCATTAGCTTTGTTTTTTCTAGCAAAAATTTCTTCAAATACCCTCTCTCAAAATCTGCAGGACTCTCTAACCACTACAAGATAAATTTCATACTAACGTGTTCCACTCTTTTCTCCTTGTCAGGGAGTAATAAGATTCCTTTAAATTACAAGTTGGAACAGAAAGCACTTGCACCACTTCACTCTGTCCACCCATAGCTATTAGTGATCCCTCTTTCAACAGGACATTACATGCAAACTAACATTATCAATAGACCATTGTTTAATTTAGAGTAAGACAGGGACCTTGACTGGACCTTCACTTCAAATACATATAACATTAAGCATCAAAGAGTCAAATAAATAAATCTCCCAAAGTACCAGAAACATAATCACAGTAAAAATACTGCTTGACCATAGAATCAACACAAATATAATTGAGCGGTCACTGGACAAATACGAACAAATAAAATAGATCTGCTATATACATTTGTTTAAAACTGCGGGACAATACTACAGCTGTTTCTGTTACATTTTTCTCAGTTCCTTTTATATTCTAAGAGGTTGTTGCAGAACCCAGTGCAAATTTCAATTCTTCATGTAACCTTGGGCTTATAAGGATAATTTTTGGCATAGTGCCTTAAAGGGGCAGTTGTGGGTTGTTGTTGTTGGTTTCTTTAATAGTTAACCTTTAGCACTGTCAAGAGTTGGCAACAGGCTTTAACAACCATATAAACCCTGAGTTCTAGGTCACCATTTAAGTATAAATGCAAAGGGAAAAGATTAACTACTTTGGTGTGACTTGCAAGTCTTGGAAAATCTGTATTTATTGAAGAGTTAGAACAATAAGATACAGCTAAATATATAGCTCTGTATTCCCATGAGTTAAGATTCTGATCAAGTTAAACACTTAACCATGTGCAGAAGTCAACAGGACTACGCACACACTTAAAGTTACACACCTTGCATATGCTGGGGCTTCTGTGGGCCAGTCAGGTGCCCCAAAACAAGTTACAGCAGACTGAAAGATTGCCCTAATTTGTTCCCCAGCTGCAATAATTCCTGTGGGCATTTACACCAGCCAAGAATAGCTGTATGTAACACCACACCAACTATATCTCCTGTGCCAAAGTTCCTGTGGAGTGGAGTAGGGTCAGTTATGCACCCAATAGCATCTCCCCATTTGTCAGGATATTATAGTGATTTTATAGACCCTTCATTTCTGGGGCACAACACACTGATGAATCTAATCTCCTAAAGCCTCCTACTCTCTATAGAATTGTATAACCTATATTAAAACATGTTCATGCTGTTTTAAAAAAACAAGGTCAATTTTGACCCAATGTAGTCACATTGAGTGAGAACAGAATTTGGCTTCCTGAATTTAGAGTTGAGGTAAGCTTCCAAATTGCCTTTTTACTAAGTATTATTTTAGGGTCTCTGCTATGTCTGTTCTACAATTAATCACCACAGAGAATCCACCACTGAACTTTTATCCAGGTACACTACTAAGTCTTTATTCCATGTAAAGTATGTAACAATGTAGTTTTGGTTTAAGCCTAATATTCCTTTTCAGTTAAGTTGCTATTTGGTATGTTTTCATCACAGAGAGAGAGAGAATTCTACACCTTACCCCTATACTATCACACAAATATTGATATTCACAGACTGTATTAAGACTATACAATTGTTAGTTTTTCCTACAAAGTGGCAAGATCTTTTAAATAACTTTAGAATGAAATATTCAACTAATTCAAATTTCATCTAATCATTTCTTGAACTTTAAAAATATAATAACATGTGTGCTCTATTTAAAACATAACAGCAAAACTTGGTCCATCAATGGCTATTAGCCAGGATGGGCAGGAATGGTGTCCCCAGGATTGTCTGTTTGCCAGAAGCTGGGAATGAGTGACAGGGGATGGATCATTTGATGATTACCTGTTCTGTTCATTCCCTCTGGGGCACCTGGCACCGGCCACTGTTGGAAGACAGGATACTGGGCTAGATGGACCTTTGGTCTGACCCAGTAGGGCTGTTCTTATGTAAAGCTTATATTTAATTTCAATGAAAACTAAACTGTGTCCAGTGCACAAATATCAAATGACAACATTTTTCCTTAAAAGACCTCTTTTGCTCCACAAATATACTTTGTGATAACAAAACAAAACAAAAAAGAAACACAGGATACTGAATTATAATTTTTATTTGGTTTAATTAATCTGAAATTGTCATAATAGACAAAGGATGATTCACATATCAGCACATCTGGAATGCAGTTCTTCAGTAATTAATAGGATACAGTTTAATTCAGTATTCAAATTTATGTTTGGATTTGAAAAAAGAATTATAGCAAAACATGACTAAGAATATAACTTTTAGATCTGCTAACTTAATTAACAAATCATGATACAGCACCTTTTAAGTTGATCAAATGCTGTTTTAAATTATTACTAAAGCTTCCATGATTTCTTTTGAAACACAGTGCACTCTTAATATTTTATCCTATCTTTTCATCTATAGCTCTTTAAGTACTTGACAAAAAATGTGCAGACATATTAGCCCAACATTATATTTGGCCTAAGTACAGCAATTTGAAGCAATCTGTATGAAAAGCTTGCAGTCTAGCAAATAACACATTGACATGCAGAGATCAAGGTTTGTTACTCTCCCACTCCTATGTAACCTTTGGAAAGTCACTTAAATGCCATTCTTCATTTATATAATCTAGAAAATGCAGGTAATACCAGAGAAGGTGTTTTGGTAAAGAATGCAGAAGTCAGTCATTTTACCAGATACCTTCACTTTGCAGAATAAAGCTGTAATTAACAACATCCCCTGTAGTTTATATGGGACTCCACAATCAGAGCACGTTGCCTGGGATAGCATAAAAACCAGTCACCAGAGCAGAACAGATGCATCATATTAAATAATTTACTCAACTTACTTTTTTTGTTCACTAATTGACCATGAACAAATTACAAAATTTTCTAATTCTTTCATTATTTAAAATGAAAAATTCCTTCAATAAATGATTTTTGCTTTGCAGATCATTTGTTTGCTTTTTATTTGTAAGTTGCAAATATTGCCAATTTCTGCTGTGTTGAATAGTTACATAAGTCAGGAGCATTGCTTTTGCTCCCTAAATGATGGCTTATGTATCTAACAAAATCAGCATGAACTGTGAATTTTACAAATGAATATACAATTCAAAATTCACTTTTGTTTGATATTTGAGCTTAATTTTTATATGTATTTTTGAATGAGTACCCACAAATTCATTCAGCTATACTGATCACAAAGAAGTTGCTGTCTGCCAGACACTGCAGAACAATGGATTAAATTACTATAATTTCTACAATGGCTACAATGAAAGCCAGTGCAGTTACTGAATTTGAATTCCACACAGTGCTGTGAAAGTCATTTTCTTTCATTTCTAACAACATAAGTAAATTTGGAATATTTGAAAATTCCACCTAAAAAAGTGAGTTCAATTTTCTAACATGGGGAAAAAGGACATCTAAATCCTGCACTTAGCAACTCAAACTGGCACATGAACTTGTAAAAAGCCTGACAAGCCTATTGACTGATGAAAGTACTGAAAGACAAGATTTGGACATTCCATTAATGACCCACACATTTGAAAAATCAGGCTCTGTATTTTCTGAACTCCTTTAATACCATTCATTGGCAGTACATGGAGAAACACAAAATTCATGCAAAAAAGAAACAGTGAAAGAAAAAATAAACCCAGTCAATAGGAAACCTGAAGAGTCATTAAGGAAGGGGTCTACTCCAGTCCCAGCAAGCAACAAACAAACAAAAAATACCAACCTAGCCACTCCCAGAGTGGATAGGATAGCAAAAAGATGAGTACCTCCCCTCTTCTTGATTGCCCTGGATAAATGGCTCAATCCATGTCAGGCTCACCAAGGCCAGTATCAGAAAGCTCCAAAAGATATTCAGCTGAGGCAGTGGAACTCCAAATCGTCTCAGCTCCTCCAACGCTGCAAAAGGAGCTCCCAGTCC